ACAAAATGTCTCAATTTTCAGCAGATCAGAGATCCAGCATAGATTTGTGAAGGACAGAGAAACCTTATGGAGTGTTTTGAAGAGGTAGCTAATGTAGGAAGGAGATGAATATTACTTGCATCAAATGCCTTCTGAAAGACCGTAAAAGTAGTGTCTAAGAGACTGTTAGCTAGAATGGAGGACAAATAAATCGATCTGGTCAAGAAATTTGCCAAATGGCGAAAGATGGAGTACAGATAATAGGCTGGACATGGCTAGTGGTATCCTCTTGTTAAAGGCCTGTTGGAATCTCTATTTATGACCTTTGTTAATGATTTAAGATGATGACAGCACCATCAAACATCCAAATTTGCTGATTACACAAAGACAAGTTGCATTGTACACAATGTACATGGAAGCAGGTAATTACAAAGATAAATGGAGACACAATGATGTAGTGGTAATGACACTGGACTAGAAATCCAGAAGGTCAGAATAAATGTTTCAATTATATGCTTGGAATCCCACCATATGGGTGGTGAAATCTGAATTTTTTAAGAAGTCTAGAACTAAAAGCTAGTCTAATGGCAAAAATTAAACCACTGTCAAATCTTGTAGAAGCCCACCTGTTCAACATCCTGGATATGTGCCATCCTTACATGCTCTGGCCTACATGTAACTCTAGACCCACAGTAATGCAGCTTTTAAATCCTCTCCAAAAAGGCCAATTTGTATCAAATTCTACATCAAAAAGGGATAAAAATCAGAAATGGACCTGGGCCAGAGTTTCTCAAACCTTTTCTCCCGCCCATTGTGTTCCCATTGAGGGTTAAAAATTGGCAACAATTTTAACGGGCCACCTGAGGTCACAGTACCCATTTTGGAAAGCTTTGATGTGGACACTGGAAATGACAACAAACACAGCCACACATACACCACTAACATCTGGGGGGTTGAGCTAAAATCGGAGCACTGTCCCATTGACTAATCAAGCAACAGCCCAACATAGTCCTGCGCAGAATCATACCTTCTAATATCATCAACAACATAACCAACCCTGGGTGTGTCCTATACACCAGCAGAACAGAGCCACCAGAGGCAACAACACCATGTCGGAAAATGAGTTGCTTGTAAGTGTTCAACTTTAACACCGATCACCATTAAGTTTCATAGCATCAGGACAAACACATGCAAAGAAACTTCCTGCAGGCTAGCACACATCGTGGCACTTTGGCAGATAAATCAGTCCTCCAAATTGAGCACTGGTTGAAAGAAGCAGAGGAAGCGGCAAGCTCACAGAATGTACTCTTGATGGACATCTTGGTGGACAGCCTCAATGTCCATCAAGAGTGGCTTGGTAGAGCACTACTGACAAAGACCCAAAAGACATGGATACTAAACTGTGTGTTGCAGATTATAAATGCATCTGTCCATGACAAAATCAGTCAGAGTGACTACCGCATACTCCTTATAGGGTTCTCACACTGAAGGTACCCTTCAATGTTATTTGACACTACCAGTGTCTAGGATAGACTTCAAACAGATCTGGCAACTCAAAACTGGTAACCAGAAAGGACAGAATTGTTCTCCAATACAATTTGTAACCTAACTGAATAGATATCCATCGCTCCACCTTTATCATCAAGCCAAGAGATCAACCTTAGTCCAAATGAAGGGTCCAGGAGGATGCCAGGAACACCACCAAGAACACCTCAAAATGAACTGCAAAGTTGGTGAAGCTACAACACAGGACTTGCCAAACTTCAGAAGCAGCATGCTGTAAACCAGACGAAAAAAGTCCCACAATCAACAGATCAGATCTAAGCTCTGCAGTCCTACTATGTCCAGTTGTGAACCATAGTGGACCAATAAACAACTAACAGTTGAAAAGGCTTCACAAGCATCCAATGATGGAGGAACCCAGCACAGAAGAAGTGCAAAAAGCAAGGCTAAAGCATTTGCATCCACCTGCATCTAGAACTTGAGACTAAACCGATTCATTTCTGGCCCCCCCGCTGGGGTTCCCAGAATCAAAAGATGCCAGTTTTCAAAGAGTCTAGCCATTGAATCTAGTTCTGCTATCAGGGAAAGACTCTCCACACAACTGGAGTCATACCTAGTACAAAAGAAAGATTGTTGTGAATCTTGGAGGTTAATCACCTTAGGCCCAAAACATCACTGCTGGAACTCCTCAAAAGTGGTGTCCTAAGTCCAATCAATAATCTTCCTTAATTTATAAAAGGCCAGAAGTTGAGGTGTTCACTGATTGTGCAACCATATGCAACTCCTCGGATATGGAAGCAGCCTATGACCATTTGGTGTAATACCTAAACAATGTGCGGGCTTTGGCTGACAATTGGCAAGCATCACTGTGCTACACATCTATCAGGCAATTACCAACTCCAAAGGGAGTGCCAAACCATTTTGACTTGACATTCACTGGCATTGCCATCACTGGGTTCCTCACTATCATCATCCTGGGGGTTTATACTTGACCAGAAGTTAATTGGACCAGCCATGCAAATATTTTGCTACAAGAGCAGGTAAGAAGCTAGGAAGTCTGCAGCAAATAATCATTTCCTGTTGACAATTAGGCTCAAGTCAGGTGTGTGATGGAACCTGCTCTTTTTGCCTGGATGCTTGCAGCTCCAAAAACATTCAAGCTTGACATGATCTTGAATAAAGCAGCCCATTTTATTGTTTCCTGAAGCACTACTTTTAATATTCGCTTCCATCAATGATACAATGGACTATCAGAGTTTACCATCTATGTGATGCACTGGAGTAACTCAAACAATATCTTCTAACCCCAATCTCTCCCAACTAGAGCGATAAGAGCAGTAGATACATGGGGAATATCAACATCTTCAGGCTTCCTTCCAAACAATAAACCAGGCTGACTCAGAACTAGGGATAACACAGTGTGGAGTTGGAGGAACACAGCAGGCCAGGCAGCATTAGAGGAGCTGGAAAGTTGACATTTCGAGTCGGGACCCTTCTTCAGAAATGGTGAGGGTGGAGGGAGCTCAGAAATAAAGAGAGAGAGGAGGGGTGGGGCTGGGGAAGGTAGGTGGGATGGTGATAAGTGAGAGCTTGTCGAGAATGTTGGGAGGGGTGGATAGACAGGAGAGAAGGCTATAGAAAAGGTCTACTGCATCCACTGCTCCTAATGTGGCCTCCTGTACATTGGTGTGGCCAAGCGGAGACTCAGACCGTTTTGTAGAGCATCTGCGCCCTGTACGCAACAAACGGTGTGTGAACCATTTTAACTACCCCCCCACCAACACCACTCCTCCCACTCCCTGGGTGACATGTCCATCCTGGGCCTTCTCCTGTGTCACAATGACGCCACCCGCAAACCAGAGGAGCAGCACCTCATGTTCCGCCTCCAGAACCTACAGCCTGATGGCCTAAACATGGAATTCGCCAGCTTTAAAATCTCCCCAGACCCGGCCTTATCCCACGTCCAAACATCCCCCTCATCCCCACCTCCTTGACCTGACACAACCTGTCCATCTTCTCTCCCACCCCATTCGCCCCATCACCTCACTGACCAATCCCCACCGCTCCTTATGTGCGCTCACCTATCACCATCCCACCTACCTTCTCCAGCCCCACCCCTCCTCTCTCTATTTCTAAGCTCCCTTCCCGCTCCCTCATTTCTGAAGAAGGGTCCCAAACAAAAACATCAACTTTCCCACTCCCCTGATGCTGCCTGGCCTGTGTTCCTCCAGCTCCACACTTTGTTATCTCTGACTCCAGCATCTGCAGTTCTTGCTATGACTCAGAACTATATTGCTGTTCCTTCACTGCTATTGGGTCAAAATCCCAGAACCCTTTCAAAACAGCACTATGGTGGCCCTACACCAAGGGTTTCAGCAGTTCAGGAAGGCAGTTCACCAACACCCTCTCTCAAGGGCAATACATGATGGCCCAGCCAGCAACGATAAAGAATACTAATACATTACACTGGGAGCAAAAAATTGTGGCAGCTGGATTTCAAAGCAGACGAGTACAAGATCATCCATTTTAAACATGCAAGTTACAACAGTGTGCTTTCTAAATTGTGAAAAGCTATACATAGTGGAGGTCCAATGACTTGATAAACTGAGTAAACAGATCATGAAAATAAGACAACAGATATGGAAAACAATTCAAAAGATAATGGGCTAGAATATACAAGGGTAGAAATCATGCTTCAGCTATACAATGCCTTGAATATACTACACCTGGACTACTCAGAGAAACTGTGTGCACCACATATTGGGAAGGACAAACTGGCCTCGGAGAGAATACAGTACATTATAAATCTGAGATTAATAGATTATCAAAGGTATCATAAGTAAGGTGAAGGCAGGTACGTGGGATTAATTCACAGATCAGCCGTCATCCCATTGAATCTGAAATGGGCTCGAGAGGTTAAAACGGACTACTCACATTCCTATGTTCATATGCTCTTATCCTCCTCGAGTTGAATTCAGATAGTTCAATTAAGTGGGACTCACAAAGAACTCAGATAGCCAAGCAGTGAAGGACACAACACTAGAGCCTGATCTTTATGCACTTAAGCAAGATTTTACTCACTTAGTATACCAGAACTTGTTTAAAAGAAAAAAACAAACCACCTTTGGGAGATCTTATGGCACAGAGGTAGCATCCTTACCTCTGAGCCAGAAGATCCGAATTCAAGTCCCAACTGCCAGAGGTGTGCCATGACATAACTGAACAGGTTGACTAAAAGCATTTTCAAAAAAAAAAAAATATGAGCAGCGGTAAGTTGTCAATTACTCCCCACCTGAACATAACACTTGGTTTGATACACAAGTAATATCACAGTATCTCCTACAGTTCTGACCTAGGAAATGTGCATAATTTAAGCCAATAATTTTGGGTTTTATAGGAGACCACAGATCTCATTTTATTTACATTTACAATGTAGTGTAGAAAGAAGCCGATTTTGTATTTTTAATTTGAATTTAAGTTAAAGTATTTCTAAATAGCAAAGTTCCACCGTAACTTACATTTCTGTTTTATTGTTATTTTCTTCATTTATAATTGGCTCATTGTCCAAGCTTTCTTCAGGCACATTCAGGAGTGGAACACTGGGGACAGACACATTTTCCACAACCTGCAAATTTCCAAATAATAAGTTATCCAAGCCTAACAAGAAAATAACTGAAGATACAGCTAATATCCTGAGAGTTCTACTTGTCATTTTAATGTATGGAAACCTTGAAGTCATCCAAGCAGCTCCTTTGAAAAGTAAAATAACTGCTGAGAGATTGTCTGGTGTATAGCACCAGCAGGTTTTGATCTGTAATTTCTCAATTTATGTCATTTGAATAAGGGATATACTACATGTCAATTGCATTAAAATAGACAGACTGTAATTGTATCGGAATTTCAGAAGTGTTAAGCCATCAAGAGGTAAACAGAAGTTTAATTTAGGATTGGTATCTGTGAAAGATGCAATGTTGCTTTGCAGGCTAGTTGAAACAAAACTTTAATTCCAAAACAGTTGTTTTCTTTCATGAAGGTCAAATCAAAATCACTTCAAAGTTTTCAACTATCTGATGGTTTGCCTAGTAAACTTCATCAGGAGAGGCTTAAAGATCAATAATAGAGTGCAATTTACTATTCCACACTATTGACTATCACTGCAAGTTCCCAATTTAATGGGAAACATTGCATGGATTTTGAACTATCAAATTTTACTAACAAATTAGTTTAATGATCAGAAGAACATTCAGTTGTTGTATATTAACATCTTGCTTGTTTGGTTTCAATATAATCTTTTGTGTAAAATAAATCAGAAAAAAAAGTACTTCAAATGGTTTTCACAGTGGTGTAACGATATATTGGCCCAAACTATCATTTCTCCAGGTTGTTGGAGCTGGGATGTACATCAGGAGACGTATGTCAGAAAACTGCAGAAGTCCTGATACATGGGCACAAGGAAATTGCTCAGGAAGTTTAAACTTTCAAAAGGCTGATTCCCTGCTGCCTAGGATCTTCCACAATTGTCTCCAATCCTTAGTGTAGCGGGGAGACGGGTCAGATATGCAGGAATTACCCATGTACTTACCCAAGAAACGTTCAAAAGGTTTAACACCTAATCTAACAATTAGGTAATTCCACAACCTGATATCCTCTCCAATAATACAGATTTGGTCCATTAGAGACTCTTTCTCGATGATAACCTCTTGAATAAACCTTGCATTTATGCAGTAAATTTAACATATGCCCGGTTTCATGGAAGCATCAGACAAAAGAAAGCAATGCCACGATATGACCAATACTTGGTCAAATACATAGGTTTAACCAGGACGTTAAGAGGAGAGGGATGGTTTAGAACTAAACAGCTGAAGGCACACCCTAGCAGAGTGCTAAAATAAGGAAGAGATATGCAAGAGGGCAAAAGTTGGAACTCTAAGAGTTTTGGGCTGGAGAAGATCACATCATAAGGGAGGTGAGATCGGAAATTAAACACAAGATTAGGAGCCAAGGTTAGCCAGCATGTACAGACAAACAGGTGAATGGGTCTTAGTTTGAATTAGAATACAGGCAGAATTTTCCCTTCAGTTCAGGTTTATTGATAAGATGGAAAGCGAGCCAAGAGAGTCAACTAGGAGCTGGAATAGTAGAACTTCCCATTCTACTAGTGGTTGCCATCATATCTACTGGTTGATCACCCTTCATTTATTCATTTTCCAAATCTACATTTGAGCCTCCTGCTGCCACATTTTTCTATCTGGTCTTGGGCCTTCCTCCTCTTCCTGGTACTCCGATCCGCATCATTCACATTGTGCAGAAAGGAAATGTGGCAAACGACCAGACCATTTCAACACTTTGTTGACTCCTAGACTTTACTGACACCCTGATGTGCTAGTTCCTGGTTTGTGTCCTTTCTTATGAGGTCATATGTTCATCTCCATTTCTAAGGCATTATCCAGTCATTGTTCATCTTTTCTTGATGTTGCTCAAGTTTCTGTAATATATGGCAAAGCTAGTCTCTGAACTCTGTTTCAGGTTCAATGATAGAAATCTCACAGCACACCACTTTTAATTACTCTAATCAAAGCTAATCTGCTGTTCAATTTCTATATTTCCATTTTCTGCCATCCCTTAAGCCGGATACATGAAACTACAAACTTTCTCCAATTCTTCAATAATCTTTATGCTTGAACTCTGATCCTCTGGACTACTGATTTTTATGCTTGTTTTCCATTGCTCTTCTCCAGATACTTGATCATGTTCTTTCTGCCTCCACCACATAACTCAAATATCATCTGCAAACATTATTGACCATAGCTCTGTCATGCTTGCTTAGTTAGAACATTTACATCAAATTAGTGGGAGGAAGGGGCTCAATTCTGATCCTTGGTGGACCTCAACTTTGGCTTCGAAAGTTTCACTGTCTCCCTTGTCGTGCTCCTTGTCAGGCACTCCTTGTACATGCCTTTTAAAATTCTTAAATAGGTCTTTTAAGGATTCATATATCCAGACTTCCTTCCTTGGCATCTAGTCCTAAGCCTTTTCTAGATCAAAGAGTACAGTTTTTGTAAGGAGGCACCAACAATGGCTCAGGGCTGACAATGCATGGTTCTGCATAATGTTAATGACTCCTAGTCCTAACCTTTGGCCACCTATGACAATCTGTTCACTGCCTCTATCTTCCAAGGAACTGCAATTTCTTGCAATTAAACATGGTTTTTCTTTTGTCTTTGCAAAGAGTGGAGATGCTAGAAATCTGAAACAGAAATGGAAATTGCAGGAGAAACTCACTAAATCTGGTAGCATCTATGGAAAGAAAGCAAATTCAATGTTTGTGCCCAGTCTTGAAGAAGGGTGGACTCTAAACATTGGCTCTGCTTTCTCTCCACAGATGCAGCTAGACTTGCTGAGTTTCTCCAGCAATTTCTGTTTTCCTAAAGACAGAAGCCATGCCTTCAGCTTTGTCACAGATGTAATTCCCTTGCCACTGAGTTTGCTTTCTATGGCCATTGTTTTGAGCTGTGCCCACCCTGAACCTTCCTATTCTGTTAGAACAGAGTTCAGCTGTCTACTCTGTAATGCTGCTTCTACCTCTGTAACATTGCTTGCCTCCTCGTCAGCTCTCTGATGCAGAAGCTTTCACCAAGATTTTGATCTCTCATTTGGAATAGTGCCATGAAACCTTTACACTCTATTCCTCACAGATAAATGGTATTTTACTCACATTTTCAACATCCTGGTGCAAACGAATTTTCAGTGCTTCCAATGTACAATTATGAAGTGAAAGCTTCTGATCATTCTCTTCCAAACTATCGGCATGCTGTAAAGCTTCAGAAAGGGCTGATTTATTGATTTCAGAGTTATGATTGTTCTCTTCGGTGAGATCTTCTCTGGAATTTAAACAAAATAATCAGAAAAAAATCCAACTGAAACTACACTTTTTAATATTGCACAATTTTTTTCCTGGAATACTACTACAACCTAAGCTCTTAAGACACTGATGCAAAACTGAAGTTATTCTTTAATGGAACCATTGAATTTAATGCTTAATCTTGCATCCTAAAAAACTGGATTAAAGATGGAACAAAAAAGCCAAGAAATCTATCACAGTGCAAATCCAACAAGAACCACCTCAGGACTTCGCTCAAGTTTGTCATTGCACATTTAAAATTTCATATCATTATTCATTATAACCATACTGCTAAAGGCACATTTTCATGTAAAAAATAAAAGTTTATAAACACCATTTACCACTATACACATCTGGAACAATGCAACTGTAATTTTAATTCAAATGACACTTAAAGTGCATAAATTAAGTAGTAAAGTGAGACTTGCTGGAATCACAAGTACATTTTTATTGAATTTACACATTTGTAGGTGCTAACTTTCTTTTCTTTCAAAAAAAAAAAAAAGGCAAAATAGTTCCATTTGAATTGGTATAAACTATGCTTCTTAATGTATGTTTCAATCATCTTCATGCTCTGAACTTTAACAGTTTCAACTTCTGATCTGCTTTGTAATGTCAAAGAGGTAATTTGTTCTAAGTGTGCAGAAGACCACTGGCATAAGGGGAAGTGAAAAAGGAATTTTAAAAAAGAGAAGAGAGATTATAAGAAGAGACTGACAATGGAAGTTAATCCAAAAGTTAACATCTTGCTAACAATGGTAGCAAGATAATGGGTTGGCTAGTTAGAATCCAAAAATGTTACCTAGAAATGGAGGACGGGACCATGCCCAAATTGCTAAAAGGGGACTAACATCTAACTTCATCAAGGAGGAAGTGACTATCAAACTCACCAAGAGTCAAATTGCTAAATGGTCTGAATACTAGAGATATTAAAAAAAATCTGGTTTAACTTAATGCCAATAAGTTCTCAGGGCAGAAATGGATGTGTCCGAGAGGGAAGCAAAATGTAGAAATTGCAGAGATACTAGCCACCTCCTTAGATACAAGGGTACATCAGAAGACTGCAGAATTGCAAATGTTATCCCCTTAAATCAAAAATAAATGCAGCAATAAAGGCCAACCTGTAGTAGTAAAGCTTTCAGAAAGGATAATTTAATAACTGTTTCAATGAGTATTGACTAAGAATGTGCTGAAACCAAATTATGTTAAATTAACCTGATTAATTTTGCATTACCGTCACTGAAAATCTCAATGAGGATAAAGTGATTAATATTAATTTCTAAAATGCATTCAATAAAGATGCACATAACATACATGCCAGCAAAATCAAAGTCTATAGAATAAGAGAGAGTGATAACATGGGACAAAGTTAGCTGAGTGATAGGCAGAGTTGAACAGTTTTTCAGAATATAGAAAGAAAAAGTGGTGTTTCCCAGAAGTCAGTACCAGAACCTTTATTTTCCTTGATGCGAATTAAATGACAACATTTGGAGATTAGCCAAAACTTTAATAGTGAATGAGGAGAGAATAGTGATAGTATTCAAAAAGAGTCACTTTTAGCTGGTGCAATGGGCATGCTCATGCTGATGAGGCAACATATTTTAGCAATGAGGGGTAGCAGTATACACTAAAATGCACAATACTTAAAAGGGGTGCAGGAACACAGACCTGGGGATACATGCGCACAGATCATTGAAAAGGGTGACCAAGTAGTTAATAAGGTATACAGTATCCAGTACTTCGGGACGGAAGCGCCGAGTGCAAAACCAAGGAAGTCATAAAGAATCTTCAGAGTGCAATGCCTCAGGCTCAACAGGAATATTGCTTCAAATTTTGGGCACTGCATTTTAGGAAGGATGCAAAGGTTTTAAAAATGTGCAGTAAAAGATTCAAGAGAATAGTTATGAGGATCTTCAGTTATATGGATGGATTGAGGCTGCTATCCTTGGATAAAGTTGGGAGGGGATCTGATATGGTTTTGAAAATCAGTTGGGGGTTGTAGTTAAATCACAAACTTTTGTTCAATATTCAGAGGAAAGTAATTGGCAAAAGAATCAAAAATCAACATGTAATGAGATGACATGATATCTTTCTTTGCAGTCAGTAGTTGGTATCTGGCATAAAACTGAAAGTTCTTGCAAAATTCAAGTGGGGCAGCATCAGTGGACAGAGAAACAGAGTTAAGGTTTACCAAGACCAAAGATTCTTCTCTGGTACACTACCTGGAATTCTCAGTCGGGTGGATGACAAGTGAGGAAGAGGCAGAAATTAAAAAAGAAACACTGAAACAGAAGAGAAAAAAAGTCTGCTGATAGAAGTGGTGAAAAAATACCATGGAAAGAAAAAATTACTCAAACCCAAGAATTACTAAGTGGAAAATGCAGAATCAGTTGGCTGAAAAATATAAAATGCTTATTTTTATTTCTCAGAAATATCAGAACATCAACCAGTATTGCAAAGAACGTTGGAAGTCAAATTTAAAACCTGCTTTGAAAGGGATATCTTGAAATTTGGTCATCCAGATCTAACTTTGTTTAATGAACAAATAAAAACATTAATCTGCAACATTCTTCTTGGCTTTGAGAATTACCCAGAAAGTTTTTTTCTGAAATTACATGAATCAGAGTGTTCAGAGGTTCAATTATTACATGTGCAATTAGCATAGAGAGGGAGTCTATCACAGCACAGAAGAGAATTTGGGATTTTGTTGCTGGAGTAATTTATTGGACCATATCTTCCATTGATCAAGTGAATTCTTTGCCTCTGCGTCAGTCTGGTTGATCAACTAAGATTTTGCACAACATCGATCACCATATTATTTTCTTTCACAACATCCACTGCTGAAAAGACTTCTTTCGGCTTCAGTCTCAGTGACCGTGATGTTCAAATTTGTATATGCCAGAACAACTTACCAATAATCTTCTTTTACAGTTGATTCTGCTATAACGCATGTTTCTTCAACTCAAATTGGCTTCGATGTGATTGAAGACTTTAGACCTTTATTTGTAGGACGCAAACTTTCCTTACTTGTATTGGTTATAAGGTGATTATGGCCAGATTAGTTTAAGTGGCGTAGCTATTGTGCTATTTTCTTATAACACGAGATTGCACAAGAATGAAACTATTGCATTATATCAGAACAGACTGTAAATGCTATTGATATCCAGGAGCCATACATTTCCTCGTTATTTAATATGCAATAATCTGTTTTCTTGAGAATTATTATAGAAAGATTTACTTTGTAAATTTTAGAATGACAACATTTTCCCCTTGTTGCATGCTTTCAGTCTCATGGTAACTACTTAATTAGTCACTTGCAGCCAGGGAGGCAAAGGGTTGGAAGCGGGGAGAGTCTTGTTCCAGACACACACCACCCTCTGCGTCAAGACATTACCCCTTTAGGTCCCTTTTAAACCCATGCCTTCTTAGTCTTGGACTCTCCCACCCTGGTAAAAATGGCCTTGGTTATTCACCCTATTCTTGCCCCTCATGATTTTATCAAATTTCTATACAGCCATCCCTCAGCCTGAGACACTGCAGGTAAAAAAAAAAAGCCCCAGCCTATTCAGCCACTCCCTATAGCTCAAACCCTCTAATCCCAGCAACATATTTGAATTTCTTCTGCTTCCTCTCAACTTTAACGACATCCTTCATATTCAAGATCAACCAGAATTGTATGCAGTATTCTGAAAATGGTGTCAATGTCCTGTAACATGACCTCCCAACTCCGAGACTTGATGCACTGATCAATAAAGGCAAGCATACCAAACGCCTTCTTCAGTACCTGTCTGTGACTGCACTTTCAAGGAACTTTGCACCTGCAACTCTAGGTCTTTGTTCGACAACACTCCCCAGGGCTCTACCATTAAATGTACAGGTCCTGCCCTGGTTTGCCTTACCAAAACACATCACTTCACATTTATCTAAATTAAAACTCCAAATTCCACATTAGCCCATTTGATCAGGGTCCTGTTGTACTCTGGGATCATCATCTTCACTGTCCACCACACCACCTATTTTGGTGTCATCTGCAAACTTACTAGCCATACGTCCTATATTCACTTCCAAATCATTTACATAAATGACGAAAAGCAGTGAACTCAGCACCAATCCTTGTGGCACACCGCTGGTCACAGGGCTCCAGTCCGTAAAGCAACCTTCTACCACCATTGTGTCCAAATGGCTAGCTCCCCCAGATCATGTTATCTAACCGTACTAACCAGTCTACCATGCGGAACCTTGTCAAACACCTTGCTGGAGTCCACATGGACAACATCTACTGCTCTGCCTTCAATCTTTTGTCACCTCTTCAAAAAAACTCAATCAAGTTACTAAGACACATTTTCCCATGCACACAGTCATGTTGACTATCCCTAATCAGTCACTGCCTTTCCAAATGCATGTAAATCCTGTCCCTCAGAATCCCCTCCAACAACTTAACCACAACTGATGTATCTTGGAGCCCAATGGGAATTGATAGAGGCATTATCGGTGTCTAGAAGACACAGAAGTAGGCCATTCAACCCATGGACTCTGTTCCACCATTCAATTGATAATCCTCAATTCCACTTTCCTGCCTTTCCCCCATAACCCATGATTCTCTCACTGAAAATAAAAGCCTATCCCAGCCACAAACATACTTAACAGCTGAACCTAAACAGCCCCTTGGGGGTAAAGAATTCCACAGATTTACTACCCTCAAAAGAAATTCCTCCTCGTCTGCGTCATAAATGGGCAGCCCCTTATTCTGAGATTATATCCTCTGGTCCTAGCCTCCCCAGCAGGAGAAACAACCTTTCTGCATCTACCCTGTCAAGTCCCCCGAGTTGTGTGTTTGAACAAGGTCACCTCCCATTCTTCTACATTCCAAAGAGCACAAACAACCTATTCAACCTCTCCTCATAAGACAGTCCCGCTACACCTGGTATCAGCCTAATGAACCTTCTCTGGATTGCGTTCAGTGCTAGTATATCTTATCTTAGATAAGGGGGCCAAAACTGTTCAAAGTATTCCTGCTGGCCTGACTAGTGTCTTACATAGTTTTAGGAAAACCTCCCTACTTTCATACTCCATTCCCTTTGAAATAAAGGCAACATTCCATTTGCCTTCCCTATTACACACTGAACCTGGATGTTAGCCTTTTTGTGATTCATGGATAATGGCAGGTGCTCACACGTTCACATAATTCTTTCCCTCATCATACAAGTCAGACCTCCAGAATACAGGTTAAGCATACCTTGACTGACAGTTGCTTCCTGCCATTTTCAATAAGGCTAAATAGAAATACACAAATATTTTTCCCTTTTACTAACCTTCACCTTTCGGCAGCTATTCCTTACAATCAAATTGAAAGCTAAACAGTGAACTATAGAAAAAGATAGAACTCCTCAGATACTGAAGCATTCTGTGACCTTTTGCAGCAAAACCTGGACAACATGTTGGCTTCGGCTAATAAGTGACAAATAACATTAGTGCCTGGGCTTAAAAATTTCTCCAAACCTGACCATGATAGGTTAATTGTTAAAGGTTAATTGGATATAACAATGAGCAATTGAAGAAAATGGAAAATTACTTGAAAAGCAGGTCTAGTAAAAATGAAGTGTTTTGACTAGGAGGTATAACCTTGACTTTCTATGGGAACTGCATATTATGCAGTTAACATGGAGTACCTGGAGAGGTTGTTTTCTGCACAATGGAATGTCTGGAAAAGTACTGAAAGTGCTATGAAAATGGTAGTAACCAGAATAGGACTTGAGCAGTCCATTTCAAATGCAAAAAGATCTGGACAATATTCAGACAAATGAGTAGGAGAATAGCTCTTAATACCACTTATTCAGCTTTTCTTCTGTCCTGCCTGCTATCCATAATCTCATTTTACCTGCCCCTTTCATATCTCTTTGTCTGGGCTCCATCTCTATCTATCTATCTGCTCACCTCTCCACTTCCCTTCCCCACCTCCCCCAACTTCACCTTCAGCACAAATACATTTTCCTAGCTGCTGAGATAACAAGGTATAGAGCTGGATGAACACAGCAGGCCAAGCAGCATCAGAGAAGCAGGAAAGCTGACGTTTCGGGCCTAGATCCTTCATCAGAAATGGGGGAGGGAAAGGGGGTTCTGAAATAAGTAGGGAGAGATGGGGAGGCGGATAGAAGATGGATAGAGGAGACGATAGGTGGAGAGGAGACAGACAGGTCAAAGAGGCGGGGATGGAGCCAGTAAAAGTGAGTGTAGGTGGGGAGTTAGGGAGGACCAGACAGGTCAAGGGGGTGGGATGGGGCTAGTAGGTAGGAGATGGGCGGAGGGGATAAGTGGGAGGGAGGACAGGCTGGGCTGGTTTTTCGAATGTGGTAGGGGGAGAGGAGATTTTGAAGTTCACATTCATACCATTGGGCTGCAGGGTTCCCAAGCGGAATATGAGGTGCTGTTCCTGCAACCTTCGGGTGGCATTGTTGTGGCACTGCAGGAGGCCCAGGATGGACATGTCATCTGAGGAATGGGAGGGGGAGTTGAAATGGTTCGCGACTGGGAGGTGCAGTTGTTTAGTGCTAACCGAGCGTAGGTATTCTGCAAAGCGGTCCCCAAGCTGCTAACAGTTCTGACAAAAAAAAGAGTCACCAAACTGTTTTCTTCTCACAGATGCTGCTAGACTTGCTGATTTAACCAGCAATTTCTATGAGATGTATTGCAATAACTCACCAAGTCTACTCCGACAGCAACTTCCAAATCTGTGACCTCTACCACCTAGAAAGACAAGGCAGCAAATACATGGGAACACTACCAACAGCAAATTCCCCTCCAACCAACAAGCCATCCAGACTTGGAAATGTATTGCAATTCCTTTACTGCCACAAAATTGAAATTCTGTAATTCCCTTCCCAATTGCATTGCACCCCAAAGTCAGCAGAGTTTCAAGAAGGCAGCCCATCACAGTAAACAATTAGGGATAGAAAATCAACAATTGCTGCCCCTTATTGTTCTTCAGGAGTGGAGATAAAACTTGACATGAAAAATAATTTTGCTACAATTATGGATGCCTGTACTCAACTGAATAAGTCACATTGTAGTTTAACTGTTTGGGGTATCGAAATCAAGTCAGCACTTACTCTGCAGATATAGTCAATTGGTTGATAGAGGAGCCATGAGCACTACAATATAAAAAGACAAATATTGTGCGTTTATTTTAAATTGCAGTTTTGCAAATATGTCTAAAACAGTGCAGAATGTGCTGGCAGTACACAAGTTGCAAATTATTAAGATTTTGTTCTATAACTCAAGACCATTACCAATCATAGAATTATCTATCAACAGTTGAATTGGCATCAGAAACATGACTAAGTAATACAGAATAAAAAATTGAAAACAAACATGCTTTCATCTCGTGTTTTTACCAACCTCAGGACATTCTGCAGCTCTTTACAGCTGGTAATATTTTTTCTAATGCAAAAAATCTGTAGTCAATATCAAGACAAAGTCCAATAATAGGCATTGAAAGTATTGATAGAGAAATAAATGTTAGCAAGTATAATCATTTTACTGTTTTGAATAGTGCCATGAGATATTTTGCCCTCATTTGAAAAGGATGGCAGGACTTTGCTTTATGATTCTACCCTCCATTCCTGTACTTGCCTAATGCAATAGTGGAATTCGAGCCTAAATTGGATGATCAATTCAGAGCCTTAAAGGTTTCCAACTATAAATTGATTGCACAAGAATTGGCATATTTAAATTTTTGTTGAGAATATATTCTCTTGGAGAACAAACACATTGTGAACTGCCTCCCTAATGCCTAAACATACATCCCAAATCTTTATTGCCGACTTCTGTACTTAAAACTCTTGTTTTGTAGCTACATCTCCCCTAACAAGTATCAGAGGCAAAAGCATAACTACTTTAGAATGGATGACAATAATTCACAAACAAGAGTGTTGTGCATATCTCAACCATTTAATTCAGGTTCCATTTCAAGACAGTGTATTCAAAAATCAAAGTCTCAGCTACTGATAATAAGCCTAACTGAAGCTTCTGATGTATCATTACTTCTGCCAGGGCTTTTGATAGAAGTCATTCTGGCACGTTTTCTTAACAAAAGTTAAATGAAATTCCTTGAGGAAACATCTACAGCTAACTCAGCTTCAGAAGATGCTCCAGTACACCTGGGGTTCTAAAACAATTAAAAACAAAACAGGTGAGGCAGGGTTGGGGGATAAGCATGTTAGACTACATGAAGTGGGAGTGGGAGCAGCAGCAATTAAATGAGGAGGCAAAACTGTGAAGAGCCTCAGTAAGACACACCAGTCCCCTTTAACAGGTCAAGGGTCCACAGGGTTAAGCCTATAAGACTGCGCTTTGAGTGCCTGTCTCTCCCAGTGCCCATTAAAAATCAATCAGAGCATAGGCACAGAAAACTCCTAACTAGAGAGATTAATTGTCTACTTAAGGGCCTCAATTGGGCAACTCCTCAGGTGTCTCATCTGGCACTTCAAATAGCAATGGAGCGAGCTAGATGCAGTGATGGAACCTGCGGGAAAGCAAGTGCGTAGACACAATTCAGTGGATGGTGTCATTACGAATATGTACCAAAACTGCTCAACTGCCAAATCTTTAATGCCTCACCTAGCTGACAAAAAAATGTCAGATTCAGTTGTATTCTTCATTATCGTCAAGTGTTCAGCATTCATCAACAACATCCTTTCAGATTCTTCAGGAAGTGCATCAGTTTGTTCTATTTTAACTCCTTCACATGATTCTGTAACCTGAAATCAGATGCATTACCATTGAAAAACAGTGACCCAGAGCCTGTTTTTTGCTGAAACAAAAGAAAATATAGTTACCAAAGACATCCAATGTTCAATAGGAGAAAGAAAAAAAACAGCTATCCAACAACTAGTTTGTTAATTACCATTTTGCTTCAAATTAGTGGTAGATTTATTGTTTGAGACCTCACGCTAAAGTCTCACACATGCCAACTAAGGCAGCAACCCATTTTCGATAAGATACAAAGGCTCAAAAGGTCGTAACAGAGGTACTGTTGTTTATCAGTCGATATCAAAAAAATAAAAAAGTTCTGTAATTACACATGCAAATTATTAAGATTTTGTTCTATAACTCAAGACCATTACCAATCGTAGAATTGCAAGAACAAGGGGAAAAGGTAAACTTATGCTGGGTTCGGAAGAGGCTCCATGCTCCCAGCAAATTTAGGAATTTTGTACAGTGATTTAATCTAAAATAAATGCTGACTGGTGCTTTAACAAAAGTCAATTAATGGAGACAATGATGAGAGCTGACCAAAAGCTGTATCAAAAATGTAGATTTGTGGTGGTTCATTTTCTTAGAAGGAAAGAAAGAATTGGAAAGATAAATAAAAAGAACTTGAAGAATTAGGTTCCAAAGAAAGGGATTAGGATGGCTATAAAGTATTGCTACCGCTGGGGCAAAGTGTTCATACAGATAAAGTTCACAAAAAGGACAAAAGGAAGAAATGCTAGCCTGCAGAAAATGTAGAAGTAGGCTAGGGTGTGCCTATGGCTCATCTCAAGAAGAATTTTGAATTTAATGCAACATGGATAGGCAGCCAGTAGCAAGTCTCTGGTAAATAGAGAGGAATCATTGCAAGACAACAGGTGCCTGGTAGAATTTTGTCAGGTGAAAGCACAGCAAGAGAGTTAAAGCAGTCAATGTATACAAATAAATTGATGCATATAGGTTAATGATAGAATGAGCTGTGTTGGGCTGGATGCAATAGATGCAGTAGAATAAGCAGGCATAGTGGATATGGAATTAGGCTTTTCAGTATGTGATTCAACCCATAACAGTGGACTTGGAGGGATATGGAATCACCAGAAGACAGCAGAGTTTTGTGGCAGGTACTGAAACAACAGCTTCAACCTTCCCAAAGTTGAACTGGAGAAAGTTTTGATTCATCCTGATGTTGGATAAGCAATCTGACAGTAAGGAAGTTTCAGTGAATCATGGCTTCTAAGTGCACCATTCCTTCACAATTTCCAAATTTTTTTGCTTTCAAAGTACACTAAATTTCCTTCTTCCTCCATTATAGACCAATGTTCATCTCTCCATCACTTTGAGTCATAGAGCTCTACAGCATAGAAACAGACCCTTCGGTACAAGTCGTCCATCTCGACCAGATATCCTAAATAAATCGAGTCCCACTTACCATAATTTGGTATCCCTTTAAACCCTTCCTATTCATACACCCACTCAGATCCCTTTTAAAAGTTGTAATTGTTCCAGCTTCTACCACTTCCTCTGGCAGCTCATTCCATACACACACGACCCTCTGCATAAAAATGTTGCCCCTTAGATCCCTTTTAAATTTTACTCCTCTCACCTTAAATCTATGCCCTCTAGTTTGGGACTCCCCCATCCCAGGGAAAAGATCTTGTCTATACACCTTATCCATGCCCCTCATGATTTTTTAAGCCTCTTGTAAAGGTCACCCTTAGTCTATAACATCCAGGGAGAACAGCCGCAGCCTATTCAGCCTCCCCCTAAAGCTTAAACCCTCCAACCTTGGCAACATCCTTGCAAATCTTTTCTGAACCTTTTCAAGCTTCACAACATCCTTCCCGAAGCAGGAGGACCAGAACTGCATGCAGTATTCCAAAGTGGCCTAACTTATGACCTGTACAGGCACAACATGACTCCCAACTGCTATACTCAGTCTTTTACTTTCCTCCTCCTTGTATGTCAAACACCACCCCCGCACTCCCACTTCTGTGCAACACACTAATTTTGGATATTTTCTAAATTAACCTAATCAAACATGTTATTACACACAAAGATCCAATAACCCTCAGAAAAACTCTACCTTGTCTTAGTCATATTTTTAAATTGTCCTCGAATTCTAGACCTGCCCATAGAAGAAATATTTTCCTAGCAGGTACCTTGGTCAAGTAAGATAAATATAATTTCAAATAAATTAGTGTAACAAACTGAATTACCTCGACACAAAATGAATTTGAAATATTTGTGGGCAGAAACTCTTCAGTACCAAAGAAATCACTGTAATTTTCCAGGAGTTCAGACATTATATTGCTAGCTGTTTCTTGTTCTTTCATATCTTCCACATCTGCACAAATACTGCAAAACAAATATTTAACAAAGTTTACTAAATCATAAACATGATGAAACATATGCACAGCTAATGCAATGCTCAGTAGTGAAGACATTTTCTTTTTCTGCATAATGATTTCTCTTCTACTTAAAATTGAAACAATTTTAGGAGTTTGTTATTTTGAGAACATTGCATTTGAAAAAAATTGGATATGGAAAATAAATTCTCCCCTCAAACATTCAAAAACTAAAATTCAAAACCAAGTTTGCAAAAGCATATACCATAACAACACCGTATTGTGGTCTATTTTGGTACTAACAGCATAGGCAGAAAGATAAGATCCTGCAAAAGGAGTTCAGTGAGTTAGGAAGTTGAAAAGCAGGATCTCTAGGGTTGTAACTTGGGATCACTTCCTGTACCACATGCCAGTGAGGCTAGCAATAGGCAGGTACTACATGTAAATACATGGCTAAAGAGATGGTGTAGGAAGGATGGCTTCAGGTACGTGAATCAATGGGGTGTCTTCCAGGGCTGGCTGGGCTTGTACAAGCGACAGGTTGCACCCAAACTGGAGGGGCACAAATATCCTGGCAGGAAGGTCTACTAGTGCCACTCAGGAAGGTTTAAATTAGTGAGATGGGCAGGGGCAGGAACCAGAGCAGTAGGTCAGCAAGCAAAATGACTGAAGATGAATCAGAGACTAAAGGCCAGTAAGGCTAAGAGGAAGAACGGATAAAGGAAAGGTTGTTGAACCCAGCAGGACTGGCGATCTGAAGTCTTTGTTTTATGTGAAGACTATGACAGGCGAGGCAAATGAAATTGAAGCTTGGATTAATAGTTTTAACTATGATGTTGTAGCTCTTACAGAGATTTGGTCGAGAGAAGGGCAAGACTGGCAGCTTATTATTCAAAGAATTAGAGGTTCCGGGTGAGATAGACAGGGATGTAAGAGAGGTGGAGGAGCTGTGTTGCTGATCAGAGAGAATATCAGAGCTGTACCAAGGGAGGACACTTTACAGGGCTCATTCAGTGAGGCCACATGGGTAGAGGTTGAGAATGGAAGGGTGCAATCACTTTAATGAGATTGTACTACAGGCTTCCTAACAGCCAGTGGGTAGAGGTACAGATGTGGCTGGATTTTGAAAAATGTAAAAACAACAGGGTTGCTGTGGTGGGTGATTTTAACTTCCCTTACATAGGGACTTGCGCCCACTGCACGTGTGTGTGTGCAGGAATTTGTTTGGTGTATCCAGGGTGGATTTTAGAAATGATGTGTACATAACCCAACAACTACGAAAGGAGCTATACTAGACCTGGTATTGGGGAATTAGCCCAACCAGATGATCGAAGTTTCAGCGGGGGAGCATTGCAAGAACAGTGACTATAATTCTGTAAGCTTTAAGCTACTTATCCATAAGGACAAGAATAGTCCTGGGATTAAACTAGGGTAAAGCTAACTACCACAATATTAGGTAGGAACTTGGGAACGTAGATTGAAGGCATCTGTTTGAGTGCAAATCCACATCTGTCATGTGGGAATCTCTAAGGCCAGTTGATTCGAGTTCAGGACCAGCAGGTCTCTGTGAAAATGAAGGTTAAGGATGGCAAGATTTGGTAACCTTTGATTACAAGAGAAATTAAGAGCTTAGTCAAAAAGGAAAAGGAGACATACACAAGGTTAAGGCAACTGAAGACAGACAACCCTCAATGATGACGAAGATAGAAGAAAAGGAATCAAATAAGGTGGGCTAAAAAAGGCTCATGAAAGGTCTTTGGCAAACAGGATTATGGAAAATCCCAAGGAGTTTTATACATATACATGGAGCAAGAGGGTAGGTAGGGAAATGGTAGGTCCATTCAAGAACAAAGGAGGGCAAGTTTTGGTGATTCAGAGGAAGTAGGTGGGGTCTCAACAAATACTTTGCATTGGTATTCACAAAGGAGGAGGACATGGTTGTTGGAGATTCTCAGGGGAGTATGTGAACATAAAAGGTGGTGGTGTTGTGTGTTTTTAAACAGCATTAAGGTAGACAAGCTCTCAGCACCTGAAGGGAACTATCCCAGATGCTGAGGGAAGCAAGTGAGGAAATTGCTGGGACTTGCTTGAAATCTTTGTATCCTCTTTAGCCACAGGAGAAATCCTAGAAGGCTGAAGAATTGCCAACATTGCTCCTTTGTTTAAGAAGAGCAACAGGGATTATCTCAGAAATTACAGGCTGGTGAGGTGTATGTCAGTGGTAGGGAAACTACTGGAGAAGATTCTTAGAGATAGGATTTATTCACATTTGGAACAAATATGGTCTTAGTGATAGAAAACATGGCCTTGTGCAGGGAAGGTCATGTCCCATGAATTTGATTGAGTTTTTTGAGGAAGTAATAAAGGTGATTGATGACAGCAAGGTGGTAGATGCTTTTTATATGGACTTCAACAAGACCTTTGACAAGGTCCCTCATGGCAGGCTGATACAAAATATGAAGTCACATGGCATCTGCTGTGAAGTGGTAAAATGGATACAGATTTGGCTTGATCATTGAAGACAGAGTAGCAGTGGAAGAGTGTTTTTCTGACTGGAGATCTGTGACCAGTGGTGTTCCCCAGGGATCAGTACTAGGGCCCGTTTGTGATATTATATATAAATGATCTGGAAGAGAATGCAGTAGCCTGTTTAGTAAGTTTGTGTACAGCACTGTGATGATACTATGCCTTTAAGAGATGTGTTCTGTCCTGTTTCTCTTGCAGTGGGATATTGTCACAGTGGTTCAGACAGGCAGTTGGTAAACATCCGAGTTCTCCCAAGTAATTTTTTTAAAAAAGGAAGGCAAAAGAATTATGGGTGAGCAGGGTCAAGCTCACAAAGACCTCAAAGAACTTTTACTATTGCATTCAGTTGATAGGTTTTGCTGGCTACTGGAGCTGAAAGTTTGAACTTGCTACTGCAAACGTGAAGTCTTAAAGAGAGATAGGCTTCTTAAAACAACAAAAGGGCAGATCATTTCTTTATTTTCTTTCTACTGGACTGGAGACGGGCAGCACGTGAGAATAATAAACTGTTGCTGAATTACCCTTGTCAAGGCTGTGTTGAAGGGATATTGCCTATATTGGATTAAAGGATATTTCTTGGTTAAATAATACTTTATCTTGTTAAGTATTTCAATAGAGTACAGTTGTGTCAGTTCTTTTTGCAGTATTTGAACTGTGTTGCAAGAAAAAAGTGTTTTAATTAAAGTTCAGTGGTAGACCAATTGAATCATATCTGGAACACATCAGCTCACACTTTCTCGAAAAAATATATAAAAGTTGCGTTCCTGGCTACCTCCATAATATACAGTTGGCGGGGGGGGGGGGGGGCTAGTCTGGTCAATAAAAAAACAAACATTGGGGGAAGCTGCAGATAGTGAGAAGCATTGCCAGAGGATACAGCAGGATATACAGGCTGGAGAGTTGGGCAAAGAAATGGCAAATGGAGTTTAATCTGGACAAATGCAAGGTGATGCACGTTGGGAGATCTAATGCAGGCAGACAGTACACAGTAAATGGGAGAACCCTTAGTAGCATTAACATTGAGGGATCTACGTGGAAAGGTCCACAGTTCCCTGAAAGTGGCAATACCAATTGGATAAAGTAGTCAAGAAGGCACATGGCATGCTTGCCTTCATTGATCAGGGAACAGAGTATAAAAATTGGCGAGTCATGTTCCAGCTATATACAACTTTAGCTAGGCTACATTTGGAATACTGTGTACAATTCTGGTTGCAGAACGTGGAGGCGTCAGAGAGAGCACGGAAACAGTTTACCAAGATGTTGCCTGGTCTGAAGGCTATTAGCAGAGAGAATCGGTTGGATGAACTTGCCTTGTTTTAACGTGAACATCACTGGTTGAAGGGCGATCTGGTAAAAATTTAACAAAATGGAGGCATGGGCAGCTGAAGTCTGTCTTCCATGCTAGAAATGTCAACTAGAAAGGGACATTGGTTTACGATAAAAGAGGGGCAAGAGGCAAGTTTTGTTGTTTTGTTTTTACACACAGAGGGTGCTAAGTGTCTGAAATGCACTGCCAGAGGTGGTGGAGGAGGCAGATACAATTGTGACATTTAAGAGGCATCTTGACACATATGAATAGACAGGGAATGGAGGGATACAGACTGGGAAGAGGCAAAAGGTTTCAAGTTTAGAAAGGCATCATGTTGGCACTGTTTTGGTGGGCCAAAAGGCCTGTCCTGTGCTCTACTGTTCTTATCCACAAACATTCACCAATTTTCGCTAGCAGTGGTGTATACCACGTACAATATGCACAGCCAGAAACTCACCATGGCTCCTTAGACAGCACCTTTGAAACCCATGATCACTATCATCTAGAAGGACAAGGGCAGCTGATACATGGGAACACCACCACCTGCAAAGTTTCCATCCAAGTCATTCATCACCCTGATTTAGTAACCTTCATTACTGCTGGGTGAAAATCCCAAAATTCCCACCTGAATAGCATTGTGCTCTATTGACACCAAATGGTGTGCAGTGGTTCAAGAAGACATCATTTTCTCTACTGCCAATCTCTCACTGGACTGGCATTAATGACAACCATCCAAACCCACCTCTCATGAAAGAAAAAAAAATGACAGAGAGATATGGTTGCAAGGTGATTAAGCCTGGGGACTGAACATCCAAGGTAACTTTATTTATAATCCTTTTGAAATATCTTGAAAGTGGTGGGATAGTTCTGTTGGAAAAAAAAAAATGGGATCAGCATTTCAGTGAGAAATAACTTTGACCCAGGAGATCAACATGTAGAATTGTTCTCGATGGGGTCAAGAAATCATATGGAAAAAGTCACTACTGGAAGTCGTTTACAGTTCCCCTTATAGTAGCTACATTGTAGGCCAAAGTAAAGTTAAGTAGTAATGAAGACCTGTAAGACAAAGGAACTGCAGTAATGGTTCAAGATTTTAATCTTAATATAGATTGGACAAAGTCTACTGAGGAGGAGTTCAACGAATGCATTCAGGGCAGTTTCTCAGAACAATACATTCTGTAACTAATACGAAGCAAGCAAGCATTAACAATCTCAATCTCATAGTAAAGAATCCTTCAGGGAAGGGCAATTCTAACACTAATACAGTTCTGTTGAGGACGAGAAAACCGAAGTTTGAAACCGGTGTCTTAATCTTAAATAAATTGCAAATGATAAAAAGACAAGAGTCAAAGTGGGCTTGGAAAACAGATTAAAAATTAAGCAGTATCGGATGTTGAAAAGGGAGGTATTTCAGGACAAAAGATTTCTAAAATCATATTGTGAGTGGAGCATCACCTCCAACTAGCAAATCTTACAACACCATGAAGAATATAAATAGTCCACATTCCAAATGTCAAACAACTGCTTTCTAATCCAAAATAACTTTGAAAGGAATTAATATTTAACCCAGCACAGAGTTACTAGGTTAAGTTAGGTATTTGGCTTTCAAGATAGAACATACAATAGAACATAAAATATGCCTATTGTAAAATATTATTCAAATAAAGATAACATACAAGCCACCCAATATTTCTGAGTTTCCAATCAGTGGTATTGTCAAAATTCCACAAATTTCTTTTATCAAAACCTAAGTCCTCATCTTAAGAGCAAAATTTATTTAAACGAAGCATAAAATACTCAATGCCCTTATATTTATTTAGTAAATGCAGTTAAAATAAAGAAGTTAGATGCACCAATGTATAAGCCTTTAATACATTGACACGGTTTCTGTTTACATTTGATAAACAAAAAGTTCAAAAAGCGATAATTTCTGCTTATGAAAACTAAGATTCTAAGGCAACCAACTAAAAAATCTTAGAAAAGCATTCAGGTGGGGAGATATAAATAAATTCCGAATATACAGTCCAAATATAAAATATTGCAACACTTACTGGAAAACATCCAGGTCAAATACAGCAGCAAGATTCCTTGAAGTCCACTTCTCTTCCTTTTGTAATGCTACCTTGACCAGGTATTTACAGAGAAACTTCAGGAGATTGTAGTTAACTACTGGAAGCTCATCTAAGAAGCATTTCAACTTCCTTCCAAGTTCATCTTCAATATTGCCTAGAAAATAAAACAACTTCTAAAATTAATACATTCTGTATGTAAAACTCATGTATTAAAAATCTATATTCTGAGAAGTCAGATTCAAAAATTGTCTGACTTGCACAAAGCCAATGTTGGGTCCTCTCAAGCAATATTTACAATTCTTTGCACAAAGACAAACTATTTGATTCTCCCATTTCCATTCATAACAATTAAAAAGCAAGAGAAATTTTACTGCAGACATTATAATTGAACCCTATAATCTACAATAACCTTGCCATCTACTGGGAAGGGACACGGGGATTAAATACCTGCCACTATTCAGGCACATTGATGTTTATAGAGACCTACATGCTCAAACATTCAAAACAAAGCCTTCATCATCACCTGCCACTAAACGGTATTGTGAGATTTAAAGAGAAATGTCTTCTACTAGAGTTGTGCCTCAATGGAACCTTTCACATGCTGCTCCAAGAAATGGTCGCAGAACAAGCTCAACGACTTGTAGGGTTTGACATACCAAGCGTACTTCTCAAGTTGCTCGTGTCAACTAATTTTTCACTCTTTAGCATTAACGATACTAAATAAGTAACTTTTGAAACTAACTATCCACAATACTAATCAATGTGAATATACTTCCTTCCAAACTGAAGTAAACAGTTGAGGGAAGGTTCACTAGAATGATCCCAGATATATAGGGGTTTTCTTAGGAGTGAGAATTAAGTTAAGGTGATCTTATTGAAACATTTTAGGATTCTTAAGAGTCTTGACAGGGTAAATGCCGAGAGGATGTCTCCCCTCATGAGTGTGTGTCTAGGACATAGTCTAAAATTGACGCCCCTTAATTCTGAGACTAAGCCGAGAAGGGATTACTTCTGAAGGTTGAGTGTCTTTGGAACTCCTTGCCACAGAAATGCCCAGAAGGGGAGCGGGGGAGAAGGGGGAAGTCGTTAGGTGTATTTAAGACTGAGATAGAAACATTCTTGATCAGCAGGGGAAATCAAGGGTAACAGACAAAAGGGAAGGAAAGTGGATGCATGGAGCATCAGCTCAGCCATGATCTGGAACAAGGCATGTTCTGCATACCACTCAAAGTGACAGTATAACTGGGACCTTGTGGGTCCCCCGTAGACATACTTTTGACTTGGAGATAGAGAGAAGTTAAGGAAAAGTTGTTTTAAGTGAGAACAAATTCAACCAGGCTTTGAGTGTTTTGCTTGCATATATATGGAGTCTTCCAGAGCCTCAGGAGCCAAAGTACTTGAAAGAATAGTCAGTGTTACAATGCAGGTCACAGGGCATGAAGATTTATCACTTGAATGGTTCTTCAGAAAATAACAAAAAACTGCTCTCCTCTTCTGTATTATATCTTGAAAATCAAGTTGTTTATCTCCTGCCACATTAGTCATCATTTTGACTATATTTAATGCACTTCTCACTCTGAAGATTTACACTTCATACATCTAAAGCCAGTGTGCTTTCATAGGAGGTTTACATATTCTGTGCTGAAGTGATGAGGCTAGAATACGCCTTCAAACTAACAGTGAGGCTAATGGATCTCTATTTAAAAAAAAAACAAAAAGAAACTGTGGGCGCTGTAAATCAGGAACAAAAACAAAAAGTTGCTGAAAAAGCTCAGCCGGTCTGGCAGCATCTGTGAAGGAAAAAACAGAGTTAACATTTCAGGTCTGGTGACCCTTCCTCAGAGGAACTCTATATATGCAGAAGTGATAGAACTTGGGTGTCCAACAATTGTAGTCAGAGTTAGATTGCTCCACCACTTGTTTCACAAAATTGACATCACACTGCCTGCCTCAGGTGTGCACTAAATTGCAAGAAGTTGCAATACTCCAGTGATATGAACTAAACCGGTCCTAGAACATTGAGATCATTTCTGTCTCAAGTATCCTTTTAAAAGCACAATTATGCTGAAATAGAAGGTGCTCTTCAGCCCCTTGGGCACATTCTAGTATTCAATGAGATCATGACTGATGCATAACTTCATGTTGTTTTGTACCCATAACGAGCAAAAAAAATCTAATATTCACAGACTTTTGAATGAATTGAACTAGCATCTACTTTTTATATTTCTGGCAGCCTGAGTACGATGAATGCTTACTAACCTCATTTCTGAATACCCCGATTTGATTTTAAAGGTTACTTCTCCTTGTCCTAGTCTCCACTAGCAGGAAGAAGTCTCTAATCAATGCTATCAATTCCTTTCAAAAATTCTAAAAACTTCAATCAAAATCAGTGAACCAAAATCATGTTTGCACAATTTCTCGCTTCACAATTTAATATTTGGAAGTTCTGATAGTAAACTGGTACATCGGCGTTCCATTCATCCTAAAGCCAATATGTCCAAAGGTACTCGGAACTCCAGATGTCTTTAGTTATAGCTTTGCACATCAGTAACTAACGTCTTACCTTTGACCCTCCAGATCTGAAGATTAACAATTCATCTGGATTCCTTCAAATGATCTGTTTAAACAAGATCCTAAATTTATTCAAATCTCCACTGTTCCTAGCTTGCCACCATTTTAAAAAATATTCACAATCTTATCTCTGGCCCACAATGAATAAGTATTAATTACTACCAACTCCCTGACACTGAAAATTAACTATTAGGAATGGGAGCCTCTTTACTTCAAGGCACTAATTGCTGAAAATGTTTGCAAATTGTATTTTTTTGTATCTGCCTTTAGTTTTCCTTGAGATAACAAGATGTAGAGCTGGATGAACACAGCAGGCCAAGCAGCATCAGTGGAGCAGGAAGGCTGACGTGTCGGGCCTAGACCTTTCTTCAGAAATGTTTTTAGTTTTCCTTTATTTTTTCTTTCTGCACTGAATTTGACATGGAATTCTGCCTTCTATACATTACATTCTTTCATTGCACTAATCATTTCACAATTTTTCAGAACAACTGACTAAGGAGCTATAGTTTCTTGTCCTGTTCACCTAGTTTCCAAATGCCATTTACCTCACACCACTTAACAGTTTGAACTTTCAGGAATTTGTTAAATACAAAAATTAAAAACTTATGTATGGAAGAGCAAGTTCTATTAAATGTCAGACCATGTTAGTGCTATATTAAATTTTGGGCTATGATCATAAACTGTACACTATGATCACGCAACCACAGAGAGAAGCAGACATGTTCAGTGAATTGGTAGTTCAGAATTTCATTTATCTTAAAACTCCGTGATTTGACATCCTATTTCTTTAATTGGGGGGGCGGGGATGGAATTGCATTTTGCTGAAAAAAGAGACATGTTGCCAAAGGTTTTCATCTTATACTCACCCAGATGACAGCAGAAACATTAGCTTTACAACATATTCAATTACCCTGAGCTTCAAACTCAAAACAAAACAACTGTTTCAAGCAGCACTTGCTGGTGTCCCAATAGCTACAGCTACAGCTACAAACAACAAAACTGCATTTGCTGGCACCCAGTAGCAGCAAAATCTGAAATAAATTAAAATTAAGTATGGTAATTAAACATAAAAATAAAAAAAAAGTGAAAAATGTGGGTGAAGGGGGAAAAGTTCATGTAGGTTTTTAATTGAAGTACAGGTATCAGTTTTGTTTTGTGAAACCATACGTGAAACCTTATGCTTGGTATCAGGAGACATTTTCTAACAGAGTTAAGAAAAACCAGTCAAGTTCATAGGCTGGCTCTTTTACACTTGGAAGAGGTGACAAATTTATTTATAGGTGCTCATTCGCTGCAAACAAAAAGAAAAACATTTTCCAGTATTGTACCCTTTTTTGGATTATACAGGAACTTGTAGAGCCTACAGATCCCCAATGCTTTCTCCTTACAACACTTCACCCAACTAGTCAACCAACCAATCAGCACCCTTGCCTCCTGAAGCATATATTGTGACCATTTGAATTATAATACTTATGAGTTTGTCCCGATGGGTGCAAGAAAAGCTTCAGCAACAGATTTCTCTTTCCAACAAGATCAACTACCAAACAGCCATTGCTATAGGTATGCTTGCTTTTAAAGCTAGAAGTTAGTATACTATCTCCCTTAGGCAAGTACAAGTTTAGTATTTAAAAACTGCATTAAGAGTGCTTAGCAACCTGATTACTCATGAAGAAAATGGCAGTAGGCAATTTTTATGTTACATATAAAATATACATGCTCAGGAAATCAAAGGATGCTCATGTTACTTTACAAGTTTAATGTGCAAAGTGTTACATTAGAACCCAAATTGCAGTGAACAACCATTTGTTTAAAAAATAAAAACAAACATTCTGACAGCAGTAACATAAGAAGTTCTGATAAATTACTGACTTAGATTTACCGATTGTTTTGTCAATGTCACTCAACTTAAGCCAAATGCATGCCTGTTATGTATTTCATTCACCAAATGCGTATTATCCAAATTTATTACGCTAAACCAAATTAGAGTTTTAAATAGCACAAGGCCATATACATTACAAATGCAAAAGAACCATAAATATCATTTCTACTCTTAAGGGCATATCTCACCCACTTCCCTTGTAGTCCCGCTTTAAGCAGATTAGACTGGCTTCATTTTGCCCAAATTGGTTTCTTGAATTTTCAGAATATAAATTAAAATTCAATTCCTTGAAAAAGCCAAGATTCAGTTTTAAATTGCAGCTATATTAAATGTGCTATTACCTTCTCAGTTTCGAACAGCTGACAAAAGAGGAGTTAAAAATTACACACCGGAGAGACTGTCAAATTGTCAAATGAGAATATTTCCAAGATTTATTTCAGTCTATTTTACTTCACCAAAAGTACTAAGCCTAAAAGTTTCTTGCACAGTTTTACATATATTCAAATATATTTAAAACTGCGCAGAATTTCACTCACCATATGCCTCCAGATACTCCACAATATGCTTTACTAATAATCGAGATCCATTCCCTGGATGATGTCCCTGTTTCTGTAGCTCATTAAGAGGAACTCCGAAAAATTTGTTAGTAGTTAAAGAGTTGTTGTTACTCGGTGAAGGAGAGAAGCTCTTCCTCATATCTTCCTTCAGCCAAAAAGCAAAGCCGTTTTGTCTGTACAAGAAAATAGTAAGCATATCAGCACAATTTTTCCTTTTTACTCCTTTCAGCTTACAACAGTTTAAACATTCGTGACATTGAACTTCTCCTTCACTATCTTCTAAAATATAAAAATTCATATTTGTTATAAAGAATCACTCATTCTAATTTATAATTAAACAGAACTACAAATGTGAAAAATCATACAAAATTTTTGAACAAACAAGCCCAATCATTTGTAATATGAATAATTTGTAGAAATTAAAGACAATAGCAACAAGAATATAAACAGATCACATCCTTAAATGACAGCAATGACAACTCATTGACTTCCAGGGGAAAAATAATTTGACAAATATTAAACATTCAGTTCATTAGTATTGCACATATTCACAAGAAAGGTCACTTTTGATGTGTCAAGTTCACAATCAACAGCCAAAACTGTAAGGACCAGCACCTTAAAACACACTTGGGCTGCAGGCAAATTTGCTGTTGTACACAGCAGACACAGAATCTGAGGTGCTGTTCCTCCAAACAGAGATTGCGTCTCTCTCCAGCTCCTCCTCAAATCACAGGTTCCCTCCCATTCTGCTCTGTCATGGATTCTGTGCCTGGAAGAGCAGACGGATGGGGAGATGAAACTTCTGACTGGAGTGGCTGTTTTGGCCAGTCATATTACTAACCTCCAACATGGCCTGCTTTCTAGTCTGCCTCAAGGTGAAGATGGGAGTTCAGAGAGCACTCAGATTCCTTATTTGTGTGACGGAGGAAGGTAGCATGGGACTCAGAGGCAGCATGTGAATACAGGATGTATTGTTAGTAAGTTTGCAGATGACACCAAAATTATAGTGGTGTAGTGGACAGTGAAGAAAGTTACCTGAGTACAACAGGACCTTGATCAGATGGGCCAAGGAGCGGCAGATGGAGTTTAATTTAAATCAATGTCAGGTGCTGCATTTTGGAAAGGCAAATCAGGGCAGGACTTGTACACTTAATGGGAAGGTCCTAGGGAGTGTTGCCGAACAAAGAGACCTTGGAGTGCATTTTCATAGTTACTCGAAAGTACGGTCGCAGGTAGTTAAGATGGTGAAGAAGGCATTTAGTATGCTTGCCTTTATTGGTCTCTCCATCAAGTACAGGAGCTGGGACATCATATTATAACTGTACAGGACATTGGTTAGGCCACTTGTGGAATACCACATTCAATTCTGGTCTCCCTGCTATAGGAAGGATGTTGTGAAACTTGAAAGGGTTCAGAAAAGGTTTACACAGGATGTTGCCAGGGTTGGAGGGTTTGAGCTATAGGGACAGGCTGAATGGGCTGGGCTATTTTCCCTAGAGCATGGGAGGCTGTGGGGTGACCTTAAAGTAGTTCACAAAATCATGAGGGGCATCGATACAGTGAACAGCCAAGGTCCTTTCCCCAGGGTAGGAGAATCAAAAACTAGAGGACTTAGGTTTAAGGTGAGAGGGGAAGAGATTTAAGAGGGACCTAATGGGCAAATTTTTCGAACAGAGGTGGTGCATGTATGGATCAAGTTGCCAGAGGAAGTGGAGGAGGCTGGTACAATTACAACATTTAAAAAGGGATCTGGATGGGTACATGAATAGGGACGGTTGAGGGGGATATGGGCCAAATGCAACGAGATTAATTTAAGATATCTGTTCAGTATGGATGAGTTGGACTGAAGGGTCTGTTTCCATGCTGTAGAGCTCGATGACAATGAAGGTTTGAGATTTTGATCTTGGGATATAGTCCAATCTGTGGCGGAAAATAGTATTTTTAATTTCTCTTGTGAGCAACATGTTGGTGTAGTTGGCTTAGTTGGCTTAGTGCTAATAAATTGAGCAGTAAATAGTTAACTAAATGCAGTGTACTCTCTCCTCAATAACATATCATACATTATGTTGTGAATATAAATATCTATTTGGAACATTAACGAATACCAAGATATCTTCAATTTTGAAAATATCAGGCAAACTATAGTAGAATAAATAAATTCTGAAAAGCTGAAACTTCTCATTCAACATTATGTTTTAAAAACAGGAAATTACTAGAGTATAAAAGTAAGGATAGAAAATTTTCTGCAAATTAGCAGCTAATCAGGAAGAATTTGTAAATTATAACTTTTTTTGAAAAATGGTCAGGTGAATATCTATGGATGTTATTTGTATGAGTCCCTGAAGGCATTCGATAAAAGTTGCTCATGAGAGATTGCTAGCTAAAACTGAAGTTCATGGAATTGAAGGTAAATTAGCTGAATCAAGTCAGGAGTACAAATAAAGGGCAGGTACTCCGAATTGGCAAGATGGATTGGATTGGTGGGTTTCACAAGATTCCCAATTTAGGGCTCAGTGTATACAAAGTTTGGAAATTTTAGCTATCTAAAACAGAAAAATTCAAAATTAACTATTGTATGTGTGTTATTATATGACTACATTATCTATTAAGAGATAGCAACATTGAAAAAACCTAACATGAAAGGAAAAAGTAGCACTCTAGAAAATCTGAATCACCTGAAAAATAAATATATTTTGATGCCACACAAGGACAGTACAGTTGGTTTCAAACCCATGGCATAGAAGATGGAAAATAATTTCAGCACAGTAAGTTTTTATCTACTTAATGCTATCTATCAACTGAGCGTGTACGTGCACGCCGGGTGAAAATGGATCATCCTAGGCAGTGATGCTACCCTTGAATAAATATCTTGGTTCAGACAAAAAGAAAATTGTTCACGTGGAATTACACTGTCGGCAGCTTAAATCTTGATATGCATCAAGTTTCAACCTCAGGAAAGCGAGACAAACCATTTAAAAAAAGGTGTTGCAGTAGCATGGTAGCAGTTTCAAACAGAAACTTCCCATTAAGCAAGCTCTTAATCTGTGGAAACAAGCAGGAAGGACAGCACTTTCTACTGGAGATTGAGCAGCAAAACTTGCAATTAGAACAGAAAAGCAGAAATCCATTAACTATCTAGATACTCAGGAAAAACTGATCACAATTCTATTAACTACATAAAGCTTTGCAGGTACGTAGCAGCCAAAGTTAAATCAAGACCAGGTCTTCAGTTGATTTCATAGAATTATATAATCGATACAGTGCAGGCGACTATTCTGGCTCTCTGAACGTTGACTCACTGCCATTCTTCTGCCTTTTCCCTATAACCTTGCACATTATTCCTCTTTAAATAATCATATACTGTCCTCTTGAATGCCTCCACCAAATTTCCAGGCAGTTTATTCCAAACTCAAAGCACGACGAGAGAGAGTTCTTTTCCCCCCTCACCTCATATTCACTTCTTTTGCAGAACACTTAAAAACAGTGCCCTCTGATTCATGATCTTTCTAAAAGTCCTAACTTCTCATGATTTTGACCTATTAGACTAATTAACCTGCTCAGAGATGTTATTACACGCCTCTGGAACAGGTGGGACTTGAACCCAGGTCTGAGTCCAGGGGTAGGGACATTACCACTGTGCCATTTTGAAAACTTGTGCAAAATTTCTTGGCTTTCTCCTTTCCAAGGCAAGGAAATCTCAACTTCTCCAAAATACCTTCATAGCTGAAGTTTCTTGCCCCTGGAACTAACCATTAAATTTTTTGACAGTCTCTCCAATTAACTCACATCCTTCCTGAAGTGTGGTGTCAGAGCTGTACACAAAACTTGGTCAGGCATCAGCCCCACGTATCATATGGATTCAGTATAACCTCTTTGCTTTCTTACTCTATGCCCCTACTTATGAAGCCTAGAAAACTCTATGCCTTTTCAAAAAGGACTCATTCTATCGGTCCTACCATTTTTAATGGCTTATACACGAACATCCAGGTCTCTCTGCTCCAGCATGCCCTTTAGAAAAATGCCTTTGTTTTACCGTCTCTCCCTATTTTTTGTACCTCACCTCACACTTCCCCGCACCAAGCTATCTTCCACCTATCCATCCACTAACAACAACACCTTCCTCAGTTTACAATTCCAAGTTTTGTCATCTACAAACTTTGAAATGGTCTCTTGCACACCAAGACCATATATCAGCTGTTCACAGGTAGCCTGGAATTGGAAATAGAAATATTGTTCTGATCCTGAGCTGTTAATGCAGCCAATTCCAAAAAAAGTACTATTGTTACAGCCCCTAGACTGAGCAAATAAGTGAGTGAGATAGCAAATATTATGAGCCCTCTCCAGTATACAAGACGCTTACACATTTTACAGAAATAACTAGAATCTTTATACACAGATTACAGGAAGAATTGAAATACCTGTCCCTCTCCTTTAAAAGAACTATTTTGAATATGTAGCAAAAATGTCTCTAATGCTTCTCATAAAAAGCCAGATAATGTGATATTTCAGGACAGGAGCAGTGTCATAAAATCTATGATATACTGTTCAGTCTAAGCTGAAACTTAATTTGTTTGAGGTCACCAAATTGGACTGTGTTCAATAAACACCAAATTAATTTCACTACATGTAATTTCACTGTGTAGTTCATAAAATAATTCAAAATGTACAGCCATCCTCTTACTGCAGTTTCTCCTATCTTTCAGTTTTTCATTCACATTGCAAATTACACAAAACTAGGTGGACATAAGAGTTGTTAGAGTTATGCAAAAATGCTTCAACGGGATTTGGAAAGGCTCAGTGAGCTGGCAAACACTTAGCAGGCAAAACAGTGTGGAAGAATATGAGGTTAGTAGAAGAAACAGAAATACAATGTGTATTTCTTAAGTGGTATGATGCTGGGAAGATTGGAACTTCCAGAAGTGACATGGGCATCCTGGTTTACAATTCATAATGGCTAACCTGCAGGTACAGCAAACAATCTTGTTGGCAAATGGATATCAGCCTTTTTTTTGGATTTTGTATCAGATTGCATATGGTTTATTTTGTTATGAATGCAAAGTTATAGTGCACACTCAATTTAATAAATACGATTTGATAGCCACAACAAATATACGACTAAAGGATGGCAGAGTCACGCATATTGACAGGTATATGATATTCAAGAAAAATAGGA